CTTGCAGATAAATTGCCTTATGTTCTTTATAAGTGAATCACAACTTGCTGTATCTTTTGAAACGTATATCAGTCGTGAAGCCAGCATTTCTGAGGATGCCAAGAGAACATCATCATTCCAGGCGTTGCGGCATTTATACTCATACTGCCTGGCACGGTAACACTCCTTTTAAACTAATTAGATTTGATGAGAAACATGTTAATGTGGAAGTAAGAAATTACATTAACCAACAAAAAATTTTTAACCGTAATTGTTCGTTTTTATGTCACCTATGTATAAATCAAATACAAGATATAATAAATGAATTATCATCGCCATCACCTCCAAAACAGAGAAGGTTGAACATTGATAATGACTATGAAATGATGGTCAGAAATCATGATGATAAAACACAACAAGATGAAACAAATAAATTAAACGATGCAATTGATTTAATATGTGAAGCATTAAAAACCAATTCATTATCCATTGAGCAAGAAATGAAGTTATTTTCGTCTTTTAGCGAGAACATCAAAATAAAATGTAAAAATGATGATATTCTACGCACACTATTATTCAATACAACACCACGAGCGTTCGCCACATTAGATGTTGCCACATTTTTAAAATATATTCCAAATTCTATTTTTTCATTTCTTCAACAATTATTAAACAACAATGATGATTTAAATACAATCGACGATAATACTGCACAACGTATCAATTACAGAACATGTAAAATTTACGAATTAATTTATTCTGGAGTAAATGGGTTTTGTATTATGCCATTCTCATTTACCGAATCATTGATGATACATACATTAACTGGTTCAAAACTGGCATCCACAATATTAAGTCAAACACAATCGAGTGGAAGTTACAAAACCATAAATCGATGGTACAAAAAATACGGGAAAATCGAAAATGAAGTACCAGATGGGGATATAGAGTCATCATTTGATAACAACCAGACTATTTCCAAAACCTATAATATAGTCAATGAAAAATCATCTCTTTTAAGTATATGTACAACTGTTATCCATAGTATTGTTAAACCAACAGTCGATTTACAAGCAAAAAATTTCACACTGAATCAATGGTGTAACGAAGCTAAAATAGTCAATATCTGTAATGACATGATCGTCGACAATAATTCAGTTGAAATGAGCAAACAATCAATCATGTCAGAATTATTAAATCGTACTCCAGTTTTGAGAAAATATTTACAAAAGTTTATTGAATCTTTAACACTAATAGTGGAACAACAGTTAGCTGTAAATAATAAGTAAGTTCAGTATTCATTTACTGCTGTACCGTAGAAGAGTGAACTCGAAAACCACTTATTTCCGCACTATGTGTTCTTTTGGCGGTTGTTTCTTTGGAGAAATACCTACGCTTGGAAGTGAGATTGAGAAGAGGTAAAAAGGTTTCGTCCCGCTGAACTCCTCTATGACACACTGTCTGTATCATGCTCAGTAGTTAGCTGATACTTTCGATACAGCAAACAATTGTAATGAGATCAATACTTAACTGACAGAAACCTGCTTTTGCGTATCTACGCCTGAATGGACGGCATTGCGATAGAATGTGTCGAAAAAATCACATGAGTTATGTTTCAGTTCAGGAAATGTGTCCGATTACATACAAGAAAAAATTGATTTATTACTATCCAGCAATGACAAAAAAAAAATATGTACTTCATGTGACGTCGCTTACAACGATAAAAAAAGAAAGTGCGACTGTTGTAAAAAGCCACTTCAACCAAAATCACTTAAAAAACTAATTAAAACTCCAGTTAATTTCAGGGCTACTGTTCGTTTATCAAATATTTTCGATAATTTACCATCATTTCATAAAAATGAAAAACGCCATGTCTCGATCGGTGAACCATACATTATTAATCCTGCATCGTACGAAAATATATTACACATATTACGAGATTTGAAAAAGCGATGTACAGAAAAGAGCTCGATTCGAAAGTGGATTACAGTTACGGTAGATGGTACACCTTATTGCCTAGGTCATAAATTATTAATTAGTCAGTTAGAATGTGATTGTTGTGCCTTTAAATGTACAAAGCATCCTGACTTAATACGACATTTTGAAGACGAACATAAACAAATAGCTAAATCGAATGACAAATTTTACTTTACTGAACTGAATTGTCTATTGTTACGTCCAGGATTGGGTCATATAGAAATGAATTCATGCCGAACATTTATGAACTTCAACTGTGACATTTTCATGTCTGCTTTAGGCGAAACATTAAAATTTAAGTCGGACCGGGCGAAAGCCTATTTTCGTTCTTGTTCCGATCATCACAAAACAATTGATTCCTTAGCTGTCGCTCTGTACGGCAACACGTTTGAATTAATTTATCATCATATAAATTCATTTAAAAGAACATCAACTATAAAATTTTTATTTGAAACATTGATGAAATGGTTAGATAGTAAAACAACCAATGTGAATATGAAATTTTATAGTCAAGTAACATTGTTGTGGTTATTCACGATATTTGCATTTCGATCTGCTACTCGAAAAAATAACTATCGATTGTTAGACGAAACGAAAAAATTACTGTCCATATTTTTTTTTACAAGCAAACATCCAAAATATCAATTTGTAATGGTAAATGATTATGTTCTACGTCAAATTATGCCAGACGAGCTACGACAGTTTTATCGAGAGAATGATGCTTATAGTACAAGTGGAAATACTCAAGAGTGCGAAGGACTTGATTTTGTTCTCGAAAATTACAACAAGAAAATCAAAAATTTACTGCCACCGGGACAACCGTCTGCTGAAACATGGTTGAATATCAATCATAATTTTGATCTTTTGAGCGACGTAAATATACAGCAAAGTTATTTCTTCTTCGAGCCCGTTATTTGTATGTTCTCTTTTGATTTCTAATAGATACGTAAAAATGCTTTTAACAATTTGAATTTAAATAAACAAAATAATCAGACAAGGCAAAAACACAATTTATGCAGTGAAATAGAGAACTGGCGTGTTCAAGTAAGAAAAAGTGGTGTTTTTAAACAAAAAGAACTATGTGGTTTGGATGGTACAGTATTGAACAAGCGTTATCAACAATTCCTGACTCAATCACTGTCAAATCAATCAATATACTTAAAACGTTATTCAGAAGAACATTTTCATTTATCAAATAAGACATGTGCGGGTCTAGAATATATGAGTGACAGTGATGATCAGTAATTGTTCATCTTGTTTAAGATGTTGCATTCCATTGCAGTAATAGGTATATGAGCAGTTATTGGCTGGTATACCTGACGATCAACATACATTCCGATGCGTGGAAAAACGATACCGGTGCTTAGATCTATTATAGGATCATTTGCTGATTGTAAGTGATAAAATAATTCATCAGTCATTGTTGTCGCTATGAGTTGTATATGATGTACAACAAAAAGAATTAAGATCCTACAATAATTATTACTAGTAGTTTACAGTATTTGTTATTTAGTATTTTCTTACCAGCTTTCCATGTTGTGTTTATTTTCAGACTAAATAAGTAGTTTGTGTTCATGAAAAATTAAGTCGGTTCATAATACTAAAGGTGTTTTCAATTATATTAGGAGATAAGTACCCAAACACTTATAGTATAACGTTTTAAAAGCTAAACGTATTTTAGAAAATGCGTATTACAAGTTTTTATAGTGTTGTAGGAAATAATCAGTTAAAATTACTTGATCAGAAAAATGTTATCATCATTATCTTTCAAATAAAAGATAGTGAGTATGTGTTATATTTTCTTGTGTTGAATTAACTGTAAGAAGAGGAGGTTATTTCTGACAATCAGGCCGTTAAAACAAGAGCGGTTTTAGAGATATACTTTTCTGTAGTTTTCTAATGATTTCTTCATGGAAGAAAACGACTAAAATGTTGCATCACGTAGATGAATCGTGATTGATGATACACTCAGATTATGCAAACTACTACAATGTCATTTATAATATTTGTTAAGTTTTGATTTTTCTTTCTTTATTTTTAGATATTGTTTTCTGTTGAATCAAGTATATAGTTTATTTGACCTTTTAACATTTTTTCTGTGTGCATGGCTATGTATCAGCGATTGCAGGATTTAGTTTCTCCTGATTATTTTCCCCTTCTATTAATAGATAAGTTGATTTTTCATATTCATTATTAGTTATATTTAATTAGACACGAAAGTTGGAAATCAATGACCAACAAGGATTTACTCTGCTCGAATAGTTAAACAAATCTTTTTCTACTATATCGATTTTAAAAATATAAATTCCTGAACTCTCACAATGCATGTGCAGCCCTGCAGAAGAGGAAGTTCTTGTGTCCCAACATAGAACTGTAGATGAGATGAAAATATATACTGATTTATTTAATAAAAGAATGCCCCTCCATATGAAAAGTCAACTTAACTATTAGTGAAGAAAAAAGTTAATTGAACTACATTTATACACTGGTATAGGGGTGGCACATTTTCTTTACTGATGCGTTACTTTACTGAGTAAAGCAACGCTTTCAAATATCACCGTATGAGTGGCGAACAACCGAAAATGTATTGTTTTATCACCTTCCGAACACAATGCGACTAAAGCGTTACTATATTATGCGTTACTGGTAACGAGTAACGCATGCGTTATTGCGTTACTGGTAACGAGTAACGCAAGCGTTACTAGAAAAGTAACGCAAAAAAGCGTTAAAGTAACGCAAATAACGCTGCGTTACTCGTTACAAAAGCTATGAAAAATAAACGCATCTCGTTAGTAG